TTTCTCCTGACCAAATCTCAATTCCTTTTAACAAAGTGAGCAAAGCATGCTCTTATATGCAGTCATTTTCATTTTGTTCTTTGACAAATATTCCTTCTTGTCAGTGTACCATAACATCTCCTACCTTTATACCCATCAGCATTTGTACATTTTAAACTTTTTTCTGCTCTTTAGTTGAATTCTGCTAATTACATGGATTCAAATATTTCAAAGAGTTTTAAGGATTCAATCCATATTTATATTAATTTTCAAATCAATATTTCTCATTCTACATTTCTTCTAACAATCAATGAGAATCATTTGAGTTATTATCCAACAACACGGCATTGTCTATGTATGTATGCATGGTCTACATACCTAAATATAGGAATGTTCACATCCCTATGAATGTCATCAGAAAAGTAGTTATCATATGTACTAACTTATAATGGGAACATTATAAGGGTTCATCAGTGACACCGTCAAAGTAAACAATCAAAACCCATGTGGTAAAATGGTTACTGGCCCTCTCCTTTCATCACTTATGCTTTGATCACCTTGTGGGTTGCAACATACTCTACATGGGGTTGCAGTTGTACAAGCATTAATGAACAGGCCTTGTCATAACCATGTAACACCACGGCTTCATCAGCTGCATTGGTTTCTAAGAAGTTCCCAAGTGTAATTCGGGCTACAGGTATTACCTACAAAACCCTGCTTGACCCAGGTGTTTTAGAGACCCTCAATCTCTTGAAGTGCCTGTGCTGTGTGATTAGACAGAGCTGACTCTTTGGGACTTGTTGAACAAGCAATGTCATCTGGCAGGACTAGGGAAGCTGGCCTTTTTTATTATAGTATTTGCACCCTGAACCACCACCCTCTTGGAAATTCAGCTCCTCTCAACTCCTTCTGCTTTGAAATGAACTCTAAATTCTTGGCTCTTTTCCTAGGCTTGGATTAAGCACTCCCCTTTGTGGGGGAATGATGTGGAAAAGTGTTGTGGAAAACTGCTGCATAACTTATAGAGGAGAAGAGACCACATGGATCAATTAAAAATCATTGTTGACTGCAAAGGAATACCGATCAGCTGTTTGTCAGCTAGCAGAGCATTGGAGGTACTCAACAGCATGTCTTCCGGGACAGCAGTGAATTGATTTACTTTTTTAAAAATGCCAACAGGCAGCAAAGGCTGCTTGGCAGGTTCTATGTTGTGCCTGCCTGCCTTAGGGTATATATGTTCTTTTCTTATATAAAATTATTTGGTTTTATTTATTTATTGTTTTTTTTTAATTCTGTGAATCTACTGTGAGTTCCCCTCCTCCCTACACACACATGTTTAAGGAGCTGATTTTAAAACTCAACACACACAAAAATCTGTATTAGCAGTCAAAAGCAGTCAAAAGAAGGTTCAATACTATCATGCCTTAGGATTACCCCAAATCAATGCAATCATGTGGAGGGTCACAATAAGTATTCACTTTAGGTCTGCTACCAGCCTTTCCTAATAGATTAGGTAACCCATCATATCTGATAGGGTGACCTCTGTACTATACGGATTTTGTCTGTTTACTTCAGTGATTAAACTACTGACAAACTTCCATTATGCATTATCAATTTCACAAAATTCCTAAAATATATTTTTTACAAATATATTAAATAGCTCAAAGGGATGTTGCTTTGTCTTACTCCCCACTCAACCTTGCACTATTCCCTTAGCACTCTTAAGAAAAAGTTCCACACTTGGGCAAAAAATCCATAATTCAATGCTATACCATTTTATTTATATATGTTCTAAATTATCAAATGCACTAATTTACCCCATGCCTCTAATAGCAATGCCACAGTCAATCATAGTGTATTTCATATAAAATAAAGTTATTGCACTTTTTGTGAAATTTGAAAAGCTGTTTGCAGGCTTGATGGATAATTCCCTTGTCAAACCCTTAAAGAAGGATGGAAAGAGAACAGGGATAGAAGAATGGTGTGTTCTTGCTGTATCTCCTCTTCAGGAACTTGATCTGCCCAAAAGCTTCAGAACAAAACCTTTTTCCCGTGTCCCTTCTCTACACACTTTTCAGGAAAAAAAAGCCCTGCTGAATCAGCTCTAATTTTGCTTAGTTGCATAAACAGAGATTTTGATTTTCAAATTCTTGGCAAACTTACTGGAATAGTTTACGTAGAGTGCAAAAGAAAAAAAGGCACGAACTCTTCTTGGAAGAGTGGGAAATGTAAAAGTTAGGATGTTCAGAACATTCACAAATGTTCAGCCATAGATAAAAATGAACTCTACCCTTACCTGCATCTCTATTTGTCGAGGCCTATCCCCTAAATCTACTGACCTTGAGCAAAGAATAAGAGGGGAAAAGAAGTGAATAGTCTCACCTGCATTATTTCCTCATAGCACAGGATGAGAGTATTGAATTCATTTTGATGTGTATACCAGCCTTTCACATGATCGAAGACCGAACTGCTAGCAACTGTTGATTCAAGCAGAGAATGGAAATAAGAGTGGTAATGCTTAAGTTAATTCTGATTCCTCACGTGAGCTATGAGGAAAATATTTCTCTTTTAAATATTATATACACAAAGCCAATGTCAGTAATTCATAATGATTTTGAAGATCACTTCTTTTTAAGCAGCATGCATTATAAAATTAAAATAAGAACTCTTTGAAGGCCCTGTCTTTGGAAATGGAAAACATTGCTAAGGCTACCAACAATATTTTTTGCATTTTAAGGAGTACAAGTGGCCATCAACTGTTTGTTCAGTGACTGTTTGAATTTATGACAGGGGAATGAAGGGGCTTATGACTCTTGCCCGAATTTATGACTGCTGCCATGCTCCCATGATTGTGTGAACAAACTTTGGGCTCTTGGCAATCCGCTTGCTGCAGTGGATTCCCAAATATATTCTTCCCATACTGTCCCACTGGGTCCCTGTGGGCTTGGGCCTGCCTCACATTGCGCTGGGAGCCACATCCTTCTTCCTACTTCCATCACCGATCAATCACTTGCCATTTTGGTGTTAATGTAGTAAATTGAACAATTATTAGAATAATGATTTGTCTGCATAACTACAATAATGATGTGTCTGCATAATTGCTAGAACAATGATGTAATGCATAATCATTGGGAAAATTCACTGGGAAAGTTCTGTGTCAGTAATATGTGGCAACCAAATGCGCTTTGCACATGGATACTTTGTATGTAGCAAAACCTTCCATTGTATGCCTGTGAGAAACGCTTCTAATGTATCACAGTGTGTATTTCAATGTGTAGCCCTTTGTTCTTTAAGGAGGGTAGTATAAAAACTGAAGTCTAATCCCGCCCTCCTTGTTCAGAATTGCCTATCTCTAATATGCTCTGAACCTTGCGCAAATAAGCTTCTCTGCTAAACCCCTCTGGAATTCGTAAGAGTTCTTTCATTTTCCACAAGAATTTTGGCACCTCCAGATGGGACTCTTATTAAGAGGCCATTGTCCTGCCAGACGGACTGCCCTGGGGGAAACCCCTCTCCTATCGGTGATATCTCCAAGCCGGCTCCGTGGCCTTTGACTACGGGGAGACCTCGACGGGAGGAAAGGGAATTTACCACCAGCGAAGCATTCCAGTCAAGGATCCACTGAGGGGAGCAGACAGGTCTTTTAATCCACAGGAGGGTCTGGAACGCCTGCAGGCAAGTATTATAAAAAGGGGTACCTGATCCCATTTGGGTCAGAAGAGGGAATTGATCAATCCCTAAGAAGACAAAGGTGGCGTCCTTAAGTCTTCAATAGGTAGGATTGTGTGGGTGGATAAACCATCGCAGTTCCTTCTGAGTGACCGTTGGAAATTTCCGGGGCTCCAGGTCGATGGTAGTGTTTTAAGGTAGGATGGGAGGAAAACAGACTAAGGAGGGCGTTGGTCAGACGCCACTCCAGTGTATGTTGGCAAACTTTAAAAAAGGGTTTACTAGGGATTATGGAAATCCAAGACCAAATCCAGCCATGTTAAAAAGATTCTGTGAATCTGAATGGGTTGCCTTTGGCGTAAGGTGGCCCAAAGAGGGATCGGCGAATCCCGAACTCGTGGCATGGGTTCATCAAATTGTGACTGGAAGGGGTCATTGGGACCAATATCCTTACATAGACCAATGGCAGATTAATATTACAGAAAAGCCTAAATGGTTAGCTAAGTGTCAAATTGAATGTGCTAAGATATATTTGGCAAGCCAAAAAGCAAAACCTCACATAAAACCTAAGATTCTGAGCCAGGAAGACAGGGAGGAACTTGCCAGACCCCCTCCCTATGTTCCTAGAAGAGAAGAAGGCGGAATTCATCAGCAACACCCCCCCTTAGAGGCTCCTCTGGCTGAAAGGGATGAAGTCCACCTTAAACCAGAAGCCGGAGCGGAGGAAGAGATAAAAATAGAACAGGGAGTTCAAGAGCAAACACAGGACTTGGATAGAGATGAAAGAGAAACACCCGTTTCTAGCCGGACAAGAAATAAAAACTCAAAACCAAAGATAGAAGAAACAATAGCCCCTTTAAGAGAAATTTTGGTTCCTGGACCAGACAACTCAAACGTCTCAATGCTGCAATAAGTTCCATTTACAACTACTGATTTATTAAATTGGCGTCAACAATACGGGCCATTTTCAGAAAAGCCTCAAGAGATAATAGATTTATTTTCTAATATTATTCAAACACATAAACTCACGTGGGATGATATGCAGCAACTTATTTCTACATTACTAGATATGGAGGGAAGAGAGAAATATAAGTTGGCTAAATTAAAAGTATTAGCCAGAAGACACCCAGAGGGAGGAGCTACTTATCAAGCAGACAGAGAAAATGCAGCCTGTGAACAGAGGCCAAGCTGGCAAACTAATAATTTACAGCATCAAACATTGTTGCAAAATTATAGGCTGCTATGCTTAGAAGCTCTGAGAGAAGCCGCCATCCATCCAGTTAATTATGCCGCAGTAACTAGTATTTGGCAAGAAAAAAATGAAACACCAACTGCTTTTCTCAGCCGACTGATAGAAGCTTATAAAATAAATACTGGACTTGATATGGAGTTGGCACAAAACTGCCCACTCCTAATTGAAAGATTTATTACCCAAAGTGCCCCTGACATAAAGAGAAAGTTACAACGTACAGAGGGGGCCTTAGGGAAAAATATTGCAGAGATTATGGAAATTGCTCAAAAAGTCTTCCGTAATCGTGACA